TAAGGGTTTAAATGATTTTTTTTTATAGGGCTAGATTGATGAAATGTTAGAATATACTTTTTAGAAATTGAAATGCACTTATATTATTACTATAAATATGATAATCATGTTTTAATAGAGAGGAAGAGTTACTGGTGATACCTGCTGAATTGGTATAGACTTTGGTGTATTTGAACTATTTAAATGTATAATTTTTTTTATTAATGTGGAGGAGATGGATTGTTTATAAATAGAGTTTGTGGAGTTAGAGATATTAATATTTGTTTACCTATATTTGAATATTAGCCTGGGACTTGGTTTGGGAAGTCCGGGGGGGGTGGTGGGATATAATATAATATTGTGTAATACTTGTGATGTTTTTTTTGTTTTTTTGGAAAATAATAAAAATTTTATATTGAAAAAAAATAAAATAGTAGGGATGCTTCCGTGGATTGATTGAATTTTAAGAAGAAATAGATTAAACTAAATTTGTTATATCATGTGAGGAAATAGAAAGGGGATTTTTTTTCTTTTTTTAAGGTATTAATTTTAGTTATATATATATGATTTGTTTTCTATGATTGATCACCCTTTCACCACGGTGTTTTCCTGAGCACTTTGATGTTAAAATTAAAAAAAACAATAAAATGTGTATTAAAAAAAATGTAGAAATTTTTCTTTTGTTCCAAGGTTTTTTTTTCCCCATCAACAACGCCACTTTAACAAAGTAGGGAAATAATTTTTTTAAAAAAAGCTTTTCACAGGAATAAATAGGAAAAGTAGAGGCAAAAAAAGGTCTCACCGAATCTTCCACGGTGGTTCTGTTTCGCTAAGATGTTCTTGTGGCTTGCGGTTGGTGCAGCTGAGTGATCGGCCATTTTACTGACCGATCTTTACTCCGTCGGCCCAAAGGAGCTTACCCAGACTGCAGAAGATGCCGCCGCCCTTCTGCAGTTAAACGGGGGGCCTCCTCAGCAGTAGTCACCCCTCCAGGGCGACTTTTCGACTCGATCAAACTCGACCGGCGAAGAGAGCAGTCTCTTCACATGACCGCGGCGCCGCAACCCAGAACCGCACATGACCGCGGCGGCGCAACCCAGAACCGGAAGCCAGTGGCAAGTTTTTTGTTTTGTTTTTTTAAAGCAGGGGTGTCAAACTGCCGGCCTACGGGCTGGATGCGTCATGGTGAAACTGCACCCACCCCATTGCCGGCAATGGAAAAAAAACATGATACGTCGCAACACGTCACATGATGTTACGAGTTTGACACCTCTGTTTTAAAGCAATGCCCGCCTGCCCCCCTGCGCCCCCCGGGTAGCTAGCTGAAGAGGCTTGAGCTGGATAGCAGCAGTTGTTTCTTTAAAAAAATAATGCAATGACTGCAAGCCTTGCTTGGAGGCAATTTAGTTTCTGAATGCTGGGCAGCTGGCGGGAAATGCTCCCAGTTCAGTTAATGTGGAAGCTATCAGAGGAAATAGTAAATCAGATCTTCTTCGTTCATTTAACAACATATTTTATTTAATTAATGAATTTGATTTTTAAAATGTGTAAAATTGAGTCTGATTGATTTGTTGAGTTTTTTTACTTATGAGCCTAATGGCCAGGCTCCATTAGGTTCGTATCTCGAGGACTACCTATATGCATTATCATGATACAGGTAGTCCTTGACTTATGACAATTGAGCCCAAAAGTTTCTGTTGCTAAGTGAGATGGTTTTTAAGTGAGTTTTACCCCACTTTATGACTTTCTTGCCATAGTTGTTAAATGAATCACTGCAGTTGTTAGGTTAGTAATACGGTTGTTAAGTGAATCTGGCTTCCCCATTGGCTTTGCTTGTCAGAAGATTGCAAAAGGTGATCACATGACCCTGGGACACTGTGACCATCATAAATATGAATCGGTTGCCAAGCATCCGAATGTAAATCACATGACCCTGGGGATGCTTCAGTGGTCATAAGTGTGAAGTCACTTGTCAGTGCCATTGTAATTTCAAATGATCATGAAATAAATGGTTGTAAGTTGAGGACTATCTGTATTTTGCCTACCATCCTAGCTGTATGCTGAAAATGGAGTGAGACAAGCAAGAAACCATAGATGAAAGAAAGCAAAGCTATATCGAAACTTTCTGATAACTATAGCAAGGCATAGTAAGAAATGACTAATCTCCCCAGTAACCCAATCTTATTTAGCAAAAGACACCTGTCTGAATTTGCCTAGGAACAAATATTTGTATAAAACTTACTGAGATGAAGAAAAAGATTGATTTGCTTAAGTATCCAGACCACAACTCTCATGTTGCTCTAGGCCAGGGCTTCTCAACCTTTTCACCGACTGTACCACTTTTAGGATATGGCAATATTCAAGTACCACTAGTTGCCTAGAAAGGTGTCAAAAACTTGATGACCCAAAAAAAAACCCAAAAGGAAAAAAGTGATATAGTACAGGTAGTCCTCGACTTACAACAGTTCACTTAGTGACTGTTCAGAGTTACAATGGCACTGAAAAAAGTGATTTGTGACCATTTTTCACACTTACGACCGTTGCAGCATCCCCAGGGTCATCTGATTTACATTTTGATGCTTGGCAACCGATTCATATTTATGATGGTCACAGTGTCCCGGGGTCATGTGATCCCCTTTTGCAACCTTTTGACAAGCAGTCAGTAGGGAAACCAGATTCACTTAACGATTGTGTTACTAATTTAACAATTGCAGTGATTCACTTAACGTGGCAAGAAAAGTCGTAAAATGGTCCACCGAAGGAGCCTTGTCGTCCCTCTTGGGCCATGTGGGTGATTCCCGGACAGTGGTGCGGCCTGTGCAGAGCCCTGGGCAGCAGAGGGCAAGCACCCAGCCCAGCCCTTGAGCTCCCGGGGCACCAGGACTCCGCAGCCCAAACCCAGTCCAGCCCCACTTCCCTGAGGGGGCATCCGATTGCGCTTACTTCCTCCTCGAGGCTGCTGCTGCTGTGTTCACTCTCCTTGGCCATGTTGCTCATGGTGGGTGCAGGAGGGCAAAGTGCATGGGTCAGAGGGAGGCGCACTCCCTCTCCATGCGAGGAGACCCAGCTTTGTAACCAAATCATCCTTAGCGGTAGGATGGGAGACCATCAGGATAGGCCAGGAGGATGGGGCAAGGGGATGGTGAAAGGGCAGAAGGGCTGCTGTGAGCCAAGTGCTAAGGCAGGACTTCCCTCAGACCCTCCCTCCCTCTCATTCCAATCTCCTTCCTTCCTTCTTTCCTCCCTCCCTCCCTCCCTCCCTCCATCCATCCATCCCTCCCCTGCCTCATTCCCATCTCCTTCATTCCCTTCCTTCCTGTTTCCCTCCCTCCCTGCCTTCCTCATTCCCATCTCCTTCATTCCTTCCTGTTTCCCTCCCTCCTTCCATGCCTCCCTCTTTCTCATTCCTATCTCCTTCTCTTCTCCTCTCTTCCCTTCTCCCTTTCTCCTCACTGCTTCTCTCACAAAAAGCCTTTTCTCTTTCTCACACACACATCCCTCCAAATCCTTCCCATTCTCATGCATGTCCCTCCAAAAACCTCTCTCTCTCTCTCTCTCTCTCTCTCTCTCTCTCTCTCTCTCTCTCTCTCTCTCTCTCTCTCTCTCTCTCTCTCTCTCTCTCTCTCTCTCTCTCTCTCATTGCTTGTCTGAGAAAAGCCCTTTCTCTTCTGACTCTTTCTCCAGCGTCTTTTTTCCCTTTTACTTCCTGCCCCATTGCTTCCAAATGTCACATACTTGCTCGCTCACTTACTCAGTGCCCTGTCACTTCCAAACGCCGCTTGCTCGCTAACTTCCTGCCCCATCGCTTCCAAACACCACATGCTCACTACTCTGATGAACTCTGCTGGGGCGACAGCATGCATGCCCACAGGAGGGCTCTGAGTGCTGCCTCTGGCACGCATGTCATAGATTCACCATCACTGTTCTATAAGAATTTAGAATCTTTAACAGGTTTCTGTACTGTTAACTACAGTGGAAGATAACTTGGAAAATTCTTACAATGATTTAATTATTTTTGACCAATCATTAACTAGTCCTTGTTAATAAGTTTCTAGTAGTAGTTCTAAAGAGGAATCATTATTTTCTTTGAGTTACAAAGCTTTTGTTGCTGTGGTTGATTGCTCCTCCTTATTGGAGCTTTCTGAAGATAATCACTATCTCTTATTTTCTTAAAAGGTAAGATCTGATAGTCTTTTCTTTGCCAGTTTTGTCTCTTCCCCCCCCCCCAAAAAAACCTGTTATCGGGAGAGAGAAATAAATCAGGAGCAGGAAAGTCAAAATATCATATCTATCAGTGAGGCCAACCAAACCTTTGTATTGGTATTCAGAGAACATTATTCATTTTTATTGGATGAGGGTAAAGGTCTTTTTGATTTTGTAATGTAGATATAAATTTTTATTGAAATTGCAATGTAGTGAAAAAAGTTTTGTTTTTTTATTCCAGAAATTGTCCTTGAATAACAGAATTTGACTAGAGGTTTAAAAAAACTGAACTCATCCACCTGGTTAAGGACAGGAAGCTTTCTGCAGAAATTATTGATTGAGGAAGAATCTGTGAAGAAAATATGGCTGCCCAAGAAAAGCTTATAATGACTTCAGAATCAGTAAGATCAGCTACAATAAAACTTTTCACCCCTTCATTGATTATTCAAGTAATGCTGATAGGAAATGTTTTATGTGGGCATGTGCTTATTTGGCCAACAGATGCTAGCCATTGGTTAAATATTAAAATAATCATTCAGGAACTGATAAACAGAGATCATCATGTCAGCATCCTTATTCCAACAACATCTCTCTTCATCAAACCTGGAGATATTCCAGCTGCCAACTTTGAAGTGTATTCTGTTCCCTTTACAATGGAAGAAGTCAATTCTTTGACCATGGATATTATGAAGTTGTGGTGGAATAACAAACCATCTATTACGACCTTTCATAGGTTTTATCAGGAACTAGAGAAATTGATGGAGAAAATAAATAAATTCAATAGGCAAATGTGTGAAGCAGTTCTGTCTAATCAAGAACTCATGTCTAAGCTAAAGAATGCTAAATATGATGTGCTTCTTTCTGATCCTGTGACACAGTGTGGCGATTTGATTGCTTTGAAGCTGAACATCCCATTCTTATACACATTGAGGTTCTCTCCAGCCTCAACAGTGGAGAGACACTGTGGAAAAATGCCTGCCCCTCCTTCTTATGTTCCAGCTGTTTTATCTGGGTTCACAGACAGATTGTCATTTGGAGAAAGGATTAAAAATATTATCTCTTATTGCATTCAAGACTATGTTCTCCAAAAATATTTGGGGGAATGGGATTCCTATTACAGTCAAGTTTTGGGTAAGTCAGTTTTATTCATTCATTTACTTCCCAAGTATAATTGGTGTAGCTTTCAATACTAAAGGAAAACAGTTGGATTAAAAGAATTTTCGCAAAGCAGAATTAGAAAAGCCTCATTCTGAAGCTATAAGTTAAACACATTGCTGCAGATTAGGATAGATATGCCTCTGTCAATTATACTTGTATTATATTGGCTAGGGTTGATGGAATTGTGATAAAAGATCTGGGAGAAAAAACTAAGGTAAATAATTTTGCTGCCTGACTATAATTTCATTTGAGCAGGTTTGGTATTTTTTGGATTGAGAAAGTAGATGAGATACTCTTCTACTTTCAGAGGTGTTTATGAATGAAGTCAAAACAGCAGCTGTGCTGATATGATCAAAGCTTCATTTGTGTTATGTGTATAACACACGTAAAAACCATGTGGATCTTTCATTGACTCATTGTGGCTACCATTTTGATTTTAAACAGTAAACATCTGGTCTCCTTTTGTTCCTTTTGGTCCCTTTGTTTTTTATTCTTCTGAGTATCTAGTTTCTATTTCTGGCCAACATGGCAGTGAGGCTGTCATGTTTGTTTGCTGTCACTGAGACTTAGAGATATGATTCTTATAAATAATAATAATAATAATAATAATAATAATAATAATAATAATAATAATAATAATAATAATAATAATAATAATAATAATATAAATAAACAAGTCCTATAAATTAGATGTACCATCTCACTTTAAATTTGGGATCTGCGTATTTATTTTATAGTTTAGTAAAGAAAGAAAAAAACATAAAAGAGGGGGCCAGCTGAATGTAATGCATTTAACAACTATAATTCTGCCCTCTTCCTGTGTAAGAGGATAGCACCTTGTTAGCACTACTTGTTCTATACTAAAGTTTTCAGCAAAATTGATAAGATATGGATAATCTCATACAGATATATAAAAACAAGGTGTCCTAAGTTTCCTCAAATATTAGTTGTATTTATGTTAATAGTAGAGGGCTTGCAACACAAGATGGGCCTCTAAATCTCTATGTATGGTAGGGTTAGATAACTCTGTCTTGTCTTTGCCTATCTATATTTCAGATTGTCTCAGATTCCTTTTGAATTTTGCCCTCTATTTCACTTAAAGCTGAGGTCACCTTCTAGGAAAAAGGAGGCAATTTTAGTATTTGGCCATACAGTTGGTCAAAAAGTAGCACAGAGTACTGAAAAGTATCCTAAGATGGAGGGGGGGGGGGCTATCAAACTTCAAAGACCAGTTGGATCAAAATTGCCATAAATTATTAGTAGAGTAATTGGGGCAGATAAGAATTGGAGTCCAAGAACAACTAAAGGACTAGAGATTACCTGCCTTGAACTGTGGAGTTCACTTATGCTTCTGTCTCTAGGACATTTTTCCATGGCAATGATGGAAATGAATTTACTGAATCTTCTTAGGAAGAAAAGGGGCATTTGAAGCTTCAGATAACTAAATCTTATCCAAATATTAAGATAGTTAATTGGACTTAAAAAACACATGGTGCTGCTGTACCAAGAACAAATATACCTGTAAATTGCAGGGATGAGAAACTTTCCCAAAGAGACTGTCAGCCCCTACCCTTTTTGAACTATGGGGGAAAATGTTGCTGTCACATCATATACAGTAGTGCCTTAGCTCTTCAAACTGGTTGTACTTTGAGCCAAACAAATAAAAGAAAGATACACGATGAGCACATCTTGTTTTTTGTGACACTAGGAATATCTAAACTTGCTATTTAAAATGACAGCATTTTTAATTAAGGGAGTAAAGCTTTCTCCTCTGTTAAAAAGTAACCACATGATATGCAACTTGCTTTTGTTGTTCTCCCTTCCCACTAACAATTATTGACATTCTTGACCTCCATTTTGGTTAAGAAAGAAACAGGCTAGCATGTTAAAGAGAATAGTCAGCTTTTCTTTTGCAAGCATCCAGATTACCAGGATCCAGGTTTTTCTATCCATTTCCCATCCTAGTGAGAAACTTGTCCTTTTTGCACAATTTGGTTGGAAGAAAGATCCTTGTCCAGAAGCAATAAAGATCTGACTTCCATTGTCATTAATAAACTTACTGGGTTTTTTCATAAATAAATAAAAATTTAAAAACCACATTTTATTTAACTGAATACTTGGTATAAGAAATTCTTTGTTAGAAATTGAAAGTTTGGCTCCATTTTTATTTTTCACCCAAACAATACTGGAAGAACTGAATGAAATAGTTTTCCTTTATGCACATTTTTCCTATCAGCTTAGATTTATGAACCCATATGGAACAAGAAACTGGCTCATAATTTCAGTTATTTCAGTTTTTGTACTAGCCAAGTTATCTAAATAAGTAAATCAACAAAGATTACACACATATATAGGTGTGTATAATTATTTGTATCTGTGAATTTCTGGGAATAGATGTAGTTAAAGAAATCAAAGTGTAGGACCGGCATATCTTCTATGCCATCTTGTATTGGTCAAATGTTTTCATTTTCTCTTATATTCCCAGATAACTGGGCAAGAACTTGACCTGGGCAACTCCACAGGACCTGCATTTTACACTATACATTCAATTCCATCGTAGCTTTATAGTTTGTATTCTGTGTGACTCAGATGACAGAAGCTTAATTTTGGGAACAAATACAAGTTTCTAATTCACTGAATTAAGTTTTTTAAAAAAGGAAATGAATTTTTCTTTGCATGCCATCTGTTTCAGTTGCTGTTTCCTTTTTAGGCTTATCCATATTGTCAGTTGCCCCATCACTAGAAGAGAGCAGAAACGGAGGGCATTGCCTTCTAGTAATCCCTCACATATCATGAAAGTGACTTCAGGGCATGTTTTTACTTATCCCTTCTGAAGAACACTTTCCATTTTGGGTACCTCAAATGCTCATGTTCACAGAGAGAGAGAAAATACCAATTATCTCTTTAAACAAACCAGTGCTTAGCATGGTCTTTGATAGTTTTCATACTTTCCTATAGCATTTAGCATTAGTAGATAGCAAGAAACCTTTGCGAAGCACAGAGAAAATTGTTGGTTTGAAACTCAGCAGGTTTTTTTGTTATATTTTTCTTGAGTTGTTTTTTTTTTTTTCCCCAATTTTTTTTTTATTATTTTCCATCATAAAAAAACAATCACAAGCATAATAAACACAATAACAAATAAAAAAACCCCATCCCCCCCCGGACTTCCCAAACCTAATCCCAGGATAATATTCATATATGAATAAACAAATACTAATATCCCTAACTCCACAAAATATCTTAATCTACAAAAAAGATAGAAAAAAGTTGCATCTGGATGTCCACACCTCCAACACTTGGATTCATAATTCGCATAAATACGAGACATAGTTGAAGGGTCCAAGTGCCATCTATAAAACATTTTATAAAAATTCTCCCGTAAATTTTGAGCTTGTGTAAACTTCACATTTCTCACCCAGATTAACTCCCAAGTATCCATAGGTATTGTTTCTCCTATATTTTGAGCCCATTTAATCATACAATCTTTGACTAATTCAGTTTCCGAGTCCAA